ATTCAACAGGGCCAAGTGCAAAGGTCTGCACCTGGGTCGGGGCAACCCCCGCTATCAATACAGGCTGGGGGGTGAAGGGATTGCGAGCAGACCTGCTGAGAAGGACTTGGAGGTACTTGCAGATGAAAAGCTGGACATGAGCCACCAATGTGCGCTTGCAGCCCAGAACACCAACCATATCCTGGGCTACATCAAGAGAAGCGTGGCAAGCAGGTCGAGGGAGGTGATTCTGCCCCTCTACTCTGCTCTGGTGAGACCCCACCTAGAGTCCTGCATCCAGCTCTGGAGCCCCCAGCACAAGAAGGACATGGAACTGTTGGAGAGGGTCCAGAGGAGGGCCACAAAGATCCAAAGATCATCTGAGGGCTGGAACACTTCTCCTAGGAGGAAAAGCTTAGAGAGCTGAGTGAGGGCTGGAACACTTCTCCTAGGAGGAAAAGCTGAGAGAGCTGAGGCTGTTCAGCCTGGAGAAGAGGAGGCTGCGGGGAGACCTTATTGCAGCCTGCCAGTACCTGAAGAGGGCCTATAGGAAAGATGGGGAAAATATTTTCAGGGCTTGTTGCGATAGGACAAGGAGCAATGGCTTTAAACTAGGGGAGTGTAGATTTAGACTAGATATAAAGAAGAAATTTTTTTCTGTAAAGGTGGTGAAACACTGGAACAGATTGCCCAGAGAAGCAGTGGAGGCCCCAGCCCTGGAAACATTGAAGGCCAGGTTGGACAGGGCTCTGAGCAACCTGGTCTAGTTGAAGATGTCCCTGCTCACTGCAGGGCGGTTGGGCTAGATGACCTCTAAAGGTCCCTTCCAACCCAAAGCATTCTATGATTCTAAGTGGGAAAGATGTATCTCTAAATTCTTCTAGTATTGTTGCATGTGATAAATTAGGAAAGTGGAACACTACATGACGTAATAATAAATTGGGTTAGGATGCCTACTAGAATTTGTCTCTAAAAAAATATACATCTGCTTGTTGATTGACAACTCAGTCTGCTAGTTTACACTTTGAAGTGGATTTAAAAAAAAAAATCCATAATTAATTCAGCCAGTGAAGGAAGAAAAAAAAAGCAATGATGCCAACAGCATTCAAATTTTACCAGGGCTCTATGTAACTTGTCTAATACAACATGTCTTCAACCAGAATCATAACTATATAGTTTATACGATTTTTAAACTGTTTATATGATTTTTAAACTGATCTCATGTCAGATCACTTTCTGAAAACACGCAACTAAAACTTTTTAGAGCTGTTTCAGGACAAAACTGTTCATTACTTCTTTTAAGTACTTCCTTTTTAATTTCGTCTATATTTTCTGCAGTTGGAGGCCTTTATATTAATGCTGTATTTATAATTCAAAATGGCTCATGAATCTTACCACAATTTAATACTTACTTCATGATATTTTATGGCAAAGATGGTTAATCCTCATATTATTCATTAAACAAGGTTAAAATGACAGTAAGCAAGACCTTCTCTTACTGATTTAAATAACATACCGATACTTCCTCTTCCGCTGCAGTATCCATATGGCTGTGAAAACTGGATCTGTCATCATCTTCATCCATATAAACTGGAGGTTCATGAGATGTCATGAAAGTTGAAGGTTTGAAAAGATGTTTATTTAAAGGATGCTGCCGTCTACTCGATGACTACAGTGAAAAAATGACATATTTTTACAAACACTCCTTGGTTATTATTTAAGTAATCCTCACCGATCAGACCTTGCCAGAAAATAGCTCTTTTGCACTAAACAGTCTATCATCATTCCAATTATTTTTAATTTAATCTCTATATCAGAGCCTCATACAGCTGGAGTTTTTCTCCCCCGTAACAAGAGAAATCAGAGAACAATGCAACACTTCTTTGGTAAGAACCCAGTAAGAAAGAACCTTTACCATAAAACCCCTACCATCTAAATAAACGAGACTGACAACAATAGAAAAACAGAAAATAAAGCTGTTACCATTTGAAGACTAAGAAACATAGTGCAAAGATATTAAAAGACTTCCAAGGGTCGTGAATGGTGTCAGTGTGAGACTAAATAAAGAAGTAATTCTGCACAGGTCCAGGACCCAAAAGACCAGCCCATGCCTGATGCTTATCATCAACTTCTTGTATTAATCTGTGCCTTAGAAAATCTAGGTCTAGGCTAATTGTCCAGATTTCTGTCCTAGTCCAAGGAGTGAAAAGGCAATTCATTCCACCATAAAAGAGCTTTCTAAGAGTTAGGAAGAATTGCTCTCTGAAGGTTCTTTTTCGTTGCCACTGACTGGAAAAAGAACCTAAAAAATGTTAGATGAGATAAATTACTCCATTAGTGCATATCTAAAACCTTTCAACTTTAATGCTGTCTGAAAGTGTAGAATGCATGGCAGTTTTAAAATAGATTACCTAAAGGCACTCAGCCCCTATTACTTAATCCCCATGGAAGAATATTAAATATCAAAAAAGAAGAATTTAGGGTGTAAGAAACCGACTCAACTTTTTACTTAACTACTTTCCAGACCAGCATTTTGACATCTTAAATGTCAAATCCTACATTCCTCAATTTAAGGAAAACAGTGTGAATAAAAAAGCAGAAGTATGAAAAAGGTTTATTTTAATAATCACAGAAGAAATAATTGTCTTCCACTGTGTCATACAGATAAAGTATAAGAAATATTTACAATAGTTAATACCTTCTCTTTTATGCAAGACTTTTTATCCCAAAGGTTCCTATATCAGTCACAAACCTGTAATGCTATAATACAACCCTTTATCTCTAAATAGGGATTCAACCTCTAAAGAGGGATCTAGCATTATCTTACAGTTGTGCACAGTTTAAAAAGTAAAGGCAAAGATCGCAAAAATTATCTTAGATGGAATGTAGCTATGCAGACAGAAGTATAACAAGGAATTGAGACTAGCTCCATTCACTCTTAAGGAAAGAGATGAGGTCTGTAGTCACGGCTGGAAACTAGTACCTCAGATCTGCAGAAGAACTACAATGCACAAAATAAAAATGAACATTTTGTTCTAAGACTGATGTACTATCCATTGTGTTGAATTTTTCCACCTTCTGCCTTATGATCATTGATTTCCTGTGTTTTGCTGCTTTTCTGGTTTCCTTTAAGATTTCAACCTCCCCAAAATACTTCCATTTAATAAGGTTAGACAGTATTTCAGCTTGAGCTGACATAACAATTTAAATTTTCTGTTAATAGAAAACAGATCGGCATTCAATACTAGATCTGGAAATCAAGAAAGGAAAACTGTGTCTACGCTCAGTAGCAGCACTGTTATGCATACAGTTATGACCTAGGAATTTAACTGAGGCTTTGAATTCTCTTTTTAACGCAATTCTACTTCTGGTGAAGAAAGAACTAGAACACTACATAAAAGCAGACAGTTAAAAAAACATTTTTCCTGTGGGAAACATGTCTTCTAGATTAAGCTTAAAAGCAGGTGCACTAATGATATTATATAAGCATTAAATTGAAAATGATAAGCCATAATTGAAGAACTGACTACTAGAGTCCTAAATCTCTGATTCAGTTTTATTTTCACCAATAGTAGATAACAGTTATACAGGAAAATAAACTGATGCATCCTGTTTAATTTCCTGTATCACTTATCAGAAGAGACATTATGTCATCTGAGGAGATATACACAGGAACTTCAACAAGATATTCAAGAACTGAATACGCTTCTCACCTCCCAGTAACCATTTAAAAACACATCCTCGGCAATCCCCATGGAGAAATGCAAGTACCTTCTTGTGAAGCATTCCTTTTGACACAATTATTTACACTAAATATATCTATGTATTTTATTCTCCCATAGATATGTGCTTTAAGTATCCACATCCATTTTTCATCCTTCTATTATTGGCAATAAAGTGGTTTTCAGCATAACCTCATACTCACTATCAAAATAAGCACAAGCACGACCCAGGCTTCCAATACCCCTTGTATTTGCTTTCTGCCACGTTATCTCCACTGGAGACTCGGGAATAACTGCAGCCTGGTACAGTGCTGTCAATCTGTGCTCTAAGTAGACAGCTATACTAGCAGACTGAGAGCTGAATTCCCCCACATAGGCTATTTGTTTGATTTTTTCATCTGCTGTATTTCTTATGTGGCATACAAATACACAATGGAGATGCTACCTTAATACAAACCCCGGCACAATGACCTTACTCTCATGACTTGGGAATAAGGATATAAATCATACTGTGAAAACAGACGTAAGTATTAGATTTGTTCTACATATAAGCTGAAGAAAAGCCTGTAGGATGGTAGCATTACCATTGTAGTATAAGAATGTTAAGAATTTTACAAAAAAAATGTCACTCTTGGTTATGCTGTGTTTGTATGCACATCAGTGGGGTTAAGGAACTTTATGGGTCACCGTTCAAATTAGTGAAAAATGTGACTAGAATGTCACATATGTACTGATTAAGTTTTCCCATTTTTTACCAAATACAGGGATCTGCTGCCTGGCAACATTGCTCACATTCTGTAGTAACAGTCTTTCCAAATAAAACCAAGAGGAAAGAAGAAAAGACATGTGACTAAGATAATTTAAACGGTAAGGTGACACAAAGAACTCAAAGGATTATAATTTTCAAAACTAAATTTTCAACCCCTTTTCAAATTAGCCTCACAGTATGGTAAACTGTACAAGTAATTCAGAGTTCTAACAGATGAATCGCACCACAGTATTTAAGGTACCAGTGTTTCCAGCTGTTTTTTTAGTTCTTCTGCCAGAAAGCGCTTTTCCAATAGACAAGGCAGCGGACAGAGTCATGCCTGCACCCTCCCTGCCTCTGTTTGTAGAGCAGAAGGGTAGATTAAAATCCTGGGGAAAGTAAAATGGCAATACCATAACAGATGGCAAACTGGAAAGCCTCTGACACAAGCACTCCTTGTTTGCAGTAACTTCAGAGAATACCAGGAGACAATTGGAGGTTTGTAACATTTTAAATAATTAAGAGATCAGCTGCGGTAGATCTTTCTATCGGGCCCCTCTGGCAGTAACTTTTGTTCCCAACCTATCAAGGGATTAAATCTGCAAATTTGCCTTTTTACAGAATCAATGCAAGACTTCTCTATTCTTAATCGGAAAACATCACAGACACCTGGACGCAAAAAAGTAATGTTACTCTGCAAAATGCCATTGTAACAGGCTTTGAAGAACCTTTGTAAACACAACGGTTTAAAAAAAAAAACCCAACCAAATAAAAACCCCACAACAAACAAAACCCCCACAAAACCTGAGCCTGCCCTCTTCAAATGCCTACCATCCTCATTAGTATCCAAGAGTACTACATCATTTAAATCAGAATATATGACTGGTCTGAACAGAAATCTAGTCTCTTTTCTTTTGCAAACGAGGAAGATTTCTCAGGACCATATTCTTTTCTCATCCATTCCAAGATCAGGAAAAGCACCATATTTTAATAGTCATTTATATGACCATTCTATTGTAATGGTCATGTATGCTGCAAATCAAAATAAAACATGACACTTCAGTCTTAAGCCTATGCTTGTGCTAGTTCAGTATGCTCAGTTATACGTAATTCTTTGGTTTTGTTAAAAGACAACTGTACCATATGACTTCTAGGGCTCATTATCCTCTTCTAGATCAGTTACACTAAACTTACAAATGAGGAAAAAGTACCCCAAGACTAACCATTCAACCCTGTTAGTTCAGCTTGTGATCTGTTAGGTTCTTTCGACACTTCACATCCCTGAGATTATGTGATAGATATGTAATGAACAGATATTAATGTGAAATTAGAATTAACACCCAACTCACTCTACAGTGCTAACAGCAAAAGAAAAAGATTACTTTATTTAAGAAATACATGCAAGCTAGAACTAGTTAGTAAGAAAGCACTAATCAAGACTTCAACCTACTGAAAATACCAATGATTTAGACTCAATTTGCTTGTAAATGCAAACAGAAATACAGAATTTCTGCTGGAATATTGTCTCACCTTTTTGGAGTATAAATACAAGTTTGGAGTTCTTCCTGGAACTGGAATACCAGCTTTAGTCAGTTTAATAAAATATTTTTGCACTCTACTGGCAACCTAGAAAAAACAACATGCAACAATTAAATGTCAAATGAAATGTAACAGGCCTTCACTTCAAAGTTTTGCCAGTATTGCTACATTGGTTCAGAAAATAAGGACAGGAAATCCACATTTTCTTCTTTGCAACAACTACTCCAAACATTATTTAGCTTGCAATGCTGCATTTGTAACATTTCCAGAGGCTTTGAAGGCTTTCGGAGAAAAAGCTACCATTGTTTGAAAGTACACAGGAAATCTAGCAAAAAGTACGACAGAAAGAATTTTAGCAGCTTGTTGTTACCTGCTGAAGCTAAACTTATTCTTTCTTAACAATGACAAATAAATTATGCATAGTTAGCATACAGAAAGTACTTCTATATTTTATCTATTAATTAAGTAAGCATATAGTTTAATTCTTTCAGGTATGGAGACATGTAAGTATAGATACAATCCGAGATAAGCTAATCTTGTATACTGAAATACTTCAGTACATTTTCACCTGAAAGCATACAACTGAGATAGGAGAAATTAAAATACTGTAAATGCAGAACATCAGCATTTTTCACTCTAGTCACACTCCTGTCTCCACATCTGTGTCCTTTTGTGAATGTTGGCCCCAGTACAGAACTAATTTTTCCGTCTATTAACATGTCTGCCCATTCTACAGTATTGAGGCACAGGAAATTCAGCACTCCAATGTAACTCAATCTGAGAACAGTCGGTGTCACTATACTTGTTATACAGAATTAAATGCATGCTGTCAAAATCTAATGAATAACTAGGACTGGCAGCTTTGTCATGGGCTTTGAAGCACTTTTATTCTTGATCTCAAATACAGAATTTTAAGAGTCGCATTGTTATTAGTGAAATGCAGGGCCTACTGTTACATTTTTAAGAAAAAATAAGTGACTATTGAAAGGGTACTGCATTTTTTTTATTGCTAGTTCAAAAAAAAAACCAGACATCTACAAATAAATCTGTGAATCTGTGTCAACTGCTAGGATGCAGTGACTGACATTACCAGTACCACAGCACAAGCATTCAAACCACACCCAAGCAGTCAAATCTTTTTCTAGCAAAGTAAGTTTTATTAATTAAAAACATGATTAAAAAAAAACCCCTCTTTTTTAATTCCTCAGTTTATGAACTGGGGGTATTTTTGACAGAAAAAATGCTCCAATTAGAAATAAATTACTTAACTGTCGAAGAGAAACCTGGATACAATCTCTTATCACTGCTCCTTAAAAAACTTAATAAAAAAGCCCACAAACAATAAAAAGTCAAGGAAAGGGATTACCTCTCAAAGTGTTTTACTTGTTACCTGCTTTGCTGTTCTATTTCCCAGTTCATCAGCTATCTTCTGCCACCTTCGGGACTCTACCTCTTCTGGTGGATACTTCAAAAGCAACTGCTCAAGTTTTTTCTAAATCAACAGGAAAAAAAAATAAACATATCTTTCCTAGCAGAGGTACGAGCTGTCAAAAGATGAGTAAGTGCTTTAAACAGTTTATTAGAAAATTGGCCTTTATTCTCAAGTGTGTTACCACAGCTATAAAGTAGAAGAGTTTCCAATTACCTGTTCCTCTACAGTCCACAGCTGGTTAAAAGTTTCAGGTTTGGTCTCATCGCAAAGTCGCCCTCTTATCATCTGCTCAAACACAGTACATAAAATGGAATACGTGTTTAGAAAAAGTACAGTTAGGATAACTTGATTTTAATCCTTTTCCTACCCAAGTAAAACCAAACCCAAACCAAATAAACGCATGAAAACTTGAAATAAAATTTGTCTAAGCCAAAAATAAGTTCTCTGCTTTGAGTACATGAATGAAACATCATAACCAATATTAACATCTGAAGCAATAGTTAAGATTCTTCTTATTATTATACATACCTATATTAAAACAGAAAAAAATCCAAAAGGTACTGTTTTGTAAAATTTTATCTTTGTAACAGCTACCTGTGGACGACTGTTTGTAGAACCTTCTGGACCATCACTTAAAGGCAAGACAGAGTATGAAATGGATTCTCCGTCCTTCCTGGGATCCAAAGGACTTTTTGGTCTTGCAGGTATACCTACTGTAAGCAACAAAAAAAAGGAATTATTAAACCTCCACACTGGCCATATCTTTCTTGTAACGTATGCCCACTTTCCTTTTACCTTTGTCAAAAATCAGCTTCACTCTCCTACTGTTACGTTTTCGGTTTTTGAATTCTCTCTCAAAGTTTCCAAGGCTAGTGGTGTATTGGTCCCAGGCAATCTCAGGTAGCTGAACAACTCTCTGAGGATATGGAAGACCCATATCGACCTGAAAAAAAAAGTGAAAAGAGAAAAGTAGTATTTAACAAAAGTGCTGTATATCCAAACAAAAAAAAACTATGAATCCTTAAAAGTTATGAAAATCTGACACTGCTTTTTAGCTAACAGTAGCATCAAAATCAGAATTTTTAAAGTGCCATGCAGCACAGTCTTTTTAAGGAGAAGATATCCTTCAAGAATCATACACAACAGTGCACATAGAATATGCAGCGGCACGGTCAATGATGGCTTATTGAGCATAAAATTTAAAGCATGTATTTCACAATTGAAGTCAGGTGTTTTTGACTTCAATATCTGTCTGTGTTTTATTTTGTTTAAACATACTGTTTGCCCAGGATCTGTACCTTTCTTAACACAGGAAACTACAGGAGTCAGAGTTTTATCATCTGTTAAACCTAAACTCCTCCCGTCAAAGAAATCAATGTATATTTTACACTGGTTTTGCTGTCTTCTACGTAGAATACAACTGTTGCAAAGCTCACCATTTTATTTAAAGGTCAACCTTGAGAATATAATTCCTTTGGTTTGGAGATAAAAATACAACAGATACTTTCAAGTAGCATTAGAGTTTCCCCATACAATGACTATCAGATGCAACACTATTACATCATGCACGCTACCAACTCATCTCAAAATTTAACGGAAAGACATCCACTGAAACCAATGGGCTTACATCAGTCCTCTCTTTAAACCTAGGTCTCTAGGAAAAGAGCACCATAAAATACCTACCTCATTCTTCACTGAAATACAACATGTTTCTACCAGACCAGAAAGTCAAGCGTGTTTGTCACTGGTAGATGTGGCAGAAAGAAAGTATTCAAGCTTTAATATTTTTTTCAGTATCCCTGTTACTACATTTTTGTTTTTTAAAAGCTTGAAAATGTTTCCTTATCAAAATTAATTCTCCTCCATCAGACAATATTCTACTATGTTATCCAGAACTCAGATATGTTTTCTAATGTTCATTTTGATTTTAGGTCCTGAACTACATTTCCTGCTCTTTTTAAAGTACCCTGAAAAATTCACTCATAGCACAACATTTAGTTTTACTGATAAGTTACGAATTCTTGACCTGATGCCTTACTATGAAGTACTTCCAGTCACCTGTAGATTTCAGGCTGTCTTAGAATACCTACATTACAATTTGAAATTTAAAGACTGCATTTCTACATACCAAAAAAAGTAAAGAAAGCATATCTAATAAAATCATTGAAGACCTATGTCTTACAGATTTAGTAAGCAAAGGGCTATTTTCTCTCAGCAGAGAAAGACTTTTAAACTCATAATGTTTATGCAAGTATTTACAGAATTCTCTGATTTCTACAGATGATGAGTTACTAGTTATTAAAAAAAAATCTGAGTAAAACTTAAGAAAAGCCCATTGAAATACCTTCTTCTGGAGTCTTTCCACAAATCCAATAGGATCTTTCAGTGCTTCTCTCTGGTGTTTGCCTAAACTTTCAAGGTCTTGAACTGCTTGAGTACGTTGAGCCTCGAGTACAGCAATCGTCTGTAACAGTCTCTGATAACTACAGAGTCAAAGGAAAACATCTCACTAAATTTGTCTTTAAAAGTGACACCCCCCATCTAAACACTAGCCATGATTATCTACTAGTATCTACCAGATTTCACAGCTTATCTGAAACAGTGCATAGACAGTTTTACTGAATTACATAAAAAATTGTATCAAATCTATTTTAAATAGTAGATGAATTTATATAAACCTATTAAAAAAAAACCCCTGAAACCATCATTTCCTTCAAATTTAAATTCTATACTAGCTACAACAATGTGGTAACAGGGACAACCTATTCATATTCTCAATAGCTATGACCAACAAGCTTTGCTTACAAAGTTAAAAAAACACAAACAAAATGACCTAATTTCTCTTCCACTTCAAAATCAACTTCCTTCTACCCCAATACAAATGACACTACCACAGAATTTTAACATTTCACTCAACCACCCACAAGGTGGACAGGAATGACCTAGAAACTATCTAAATATTTACATACGCATCTAAATATTTTATATAAGCCTCACCTTAGAGTAGAATACAAGAATTATTTATGAAATGTAACTATAAACCACGGAGCAATTTGCAAAACAAATAAATACAAAAGAGATTCCTGTAAGAATACAGAAGTTGAATGAAAATGTCAGCATTCCCTCAAACCCACCATCCCAGATTCACACACCATTTTGACTTGAGAGGCACTGATGTGACTATCATACCTGTACCCAACGATGTATGCTTCCCAACCTGTCTTCTACAAAGCTAACCATGAGTCAGGAAATCATACAATATTGTAACACAATTAAAACATGGGTAACTACATTTAATAACTTTCACTAGTTTTATAGTTAAAGTTGTCCACTTCAGCTTCTGAATCACATGCAGCTACCCATGGCCGCTGTTGTTGCAAATTACTACGTATCAACGTAACTTTTTTCATGAAAACATTATTTGACATTCATTATTACAACTGTATTTTAGTTCAGCACAAAATACAACCTAACGCATACTAAAATCAGGTGAGATTCATTCATTACTACATTATTTCAGTAAATTTTCTTTCTATTCCCTCATTGCTAAAACGAAGACAAGCTTAACATGATGAATTCCACACGTATTACAGAAAAGATCCAGAGGTTACTGAGCTATGCAGGTTTTTCAATTGATTGCACTGATAACTGGGTAAGGCTTTAAGTGGAGGGAAGTAAACAGCCTCCAAAGGCAAAATACAGGCTTCGTACCATCAGATATTTAAGCTTCTACCTAGATATTAAGCTGCTGCCTCCGTAATTTTCTTTCCACTCAAATGTAATATTTGAAAACATAAAATACAGCCGTACTCTCTGAAGTCTGAAACTAAAATACTGACCTTGTTTAAAAACAGTAGGACACAATTCTGTTATCATTTTTGTATTATTTAAATCTGTCCGCACATATTCCGGTTTATATTCAACTAAGACCTAAAATCCTTGTTAAACAGGCCATTAATATCGGAACAGTAGTGGAATATTTTCACTACTGGAAAAGTGCTCCAGTTTCTTCTAAACAAAATAACTTTGCATAAAAACAGACAATGAATGGGGCAATTCCTGAACAGGCACAAAACAAACTTCAGAAATATCTTACAAAGGTAGTGACAGCACATCAAAATGGTCTGAGACAATACTGCAGCTCAGACTGCTACAGGCTTACAGGAATCACCATATGTGGAATTAAGATCTTTACTTAGTTTTTACAAATACCATCCGATTACTGCCTAGCTTTGCACTGGGCAACCTCGGTCCATGCTCAGGTGGCCTGACAGCCTTTCTTACGCAGAAGTCTGCCTTGCACGCTCCAGAGAAATTAAACATAGGCAGGCTGCTAACGGGTTTGATGTAGATGCAGCTGTAAGAACACCAAAGAGCTTAATGGTATCTGGGGAGATGATTTACCCTGCACAACAGCAAGCCGCCTTCTATCAGCAGGTTCCAAACTTCTATGCAAGACTCTGGAGTTAACTCTAGTCACAGTAACAGAGGCTCAGCACCATACAAAAAAATTTGCATCTAAGACGATGTTAAATACATAACTGCCTTTCTTTTCTTGGGCCACTTTACCTCACTTATTCAAAACGCATTTAAGTGATTGCTTTTCCAAATGAAATTGAAAGAAAATAATAATTTCATTTAAAACATTTACAGAGATAGAAGAAAAAAGCAACCAAATGTTGGAGATTAGATTAAGTGCTAATGATGATTCACATATGTAAAGTGGGGGAAGAAATCATCTTAATGTGGTGGCCTTAAATAATTAAGTGTGAATGGAATAAGAAGAAATTACATTTTGGGGAGAAATAACAAACAAAAGAATATTGAACTCCAGTTACTTCCCTCATTACAATATTCATGTGACCTCACTGAAGTGATCATGGACTTGAAGATAAATGGTTCAGAAAACAATACGCAAAATATTACAAGAACATAATGTTCAAAAACATATCATGTGATGTTGATCTGTGGCTACACAGTACCATTGTCATGAAATCTTTCAAGAGAGAAAAAGGTTTTTTTGAGCAAACTGTTGAGACAAAAAGATTTCCTGGCACTTTTTTGTATCCTCACTAAAGAAATGTATTAACTTGGAGCTATTTACTTTAACTTCCATAATAAGTTTTTATGAATGAATATATTCTGAAGCCCAGGAATAAGAGTGCAATTTCACAGAATCAAGTGAATATCAGAAGTACTGAAATGCATGAAAACTTGCATTTTGGGGTCTTACATTGCCAAAAAAATTTGAAAATACTAATCCTGAAATAGGTAGTTTGCATAGTCCATATTCAGGTACTTCAGATTTGCTGCAGTACTGCATTCTCTCGAAACCACTATCTTCCAAGGTTCTTTGTAACTAAGCACAACAATTATGATTCAAACTACCTCCTGCAGTTGCACTAACCTTCTCCAAAATTGAAAAAGCCTAATGAAGGTAAGGAGAAAGTAAGTGGAACCTTGCTCACCAGTCTGCTGCAGAACTGGCTGCATCCTTCAGTGAGGCAAGCAAAGAGCAATCTTCTCTAAATTATCTAGCTACAGTTGCATAATTTTCTCTGAAAGATCTGTGAGGAATAACCAAGGAAAATTCTCTGCCAAAACAAAACAAACTCATATAACTAAAAATGCATAATTTGAATAAACTCAGTCAGTCATATCCCCTACACCAACTGAAGTTACACTTTTCTCAGTTTCAATTACTAAATGGTTAGTAGGTACACAATCTGAAGTGGTTTTCTTTGTAGCAAAACGTACATTCTACAGAACGTAATTCTGTATTTCCACAATTCTAATATTGAAACACTCTTGTAATTTCTAAATCATGTTAACTGCTGGGAATCTTCCAAATGAGCACCCGAATAATTCAGTATAGTATAAAACCAGTTTGAGTATCTCTGTGCTGAAAAACCTTGACTAAAATGCATTTTTGAGACACCAATATTAAAAAAGGAAATCCACTTCTTTACTGCTCCATAAAATTACTATTACATAGCAGAGCCGTATTTCTAGAAGTCCTGCCATAAACAATTAGTCATTACACTATTCATTTCCACGACCTTTGTTCTAACAGCGATTAGGAAGACAGCAGCCTCCTCTCTTGTCTATGACAAAGCTTGAAAATAGTGTAGCTAGTACCTTTATGACAACCTTTTCCATTTTGATCCAGTTTTCTGAGACCTACTTTCAAGCTGCCTTCTTTTCCCCATTTCCATCCTGTGATAACACTGTTTACATTTCCAGATCTAAGTACCCAGAGTTACATTACAGATTTTATTTTCATCAGGAACTAACAATGAAAAGCACTATATACATTTGGAGTCAATCTGCCTTAAGAATAGCATGTTTCTTAAGTTTACTTCTATTTTTTATACTAAAAGACTCAACACTAGCCTGTATAAGAGGCTGTGTCATTCAGCATTTTTAAATACATTCAATTCAGTAAGAGTCATTCAGTCACAGAGGCTAGTCCCTCCGCAGTTTCTTAAGATTTTGTCTCCCTTCAAGAGAAGAACACACTGTACTTTTAACCATAAATGAAAGAGTGATGTGAGAAACTGATACTACAAAATGAAGATTTTAACTTTTAGGTAGCTAATTCAAATTAGTGGATAGAATAAAATAAATAAGCGAAGCTTTTCAGTTAAATTGCGGTAAAAAAATGTGAAGCATCAGTTTTGTACTGTTGGACAACATAGGGGGCAGACATAAAAGTGGCTGTTGGTAACATCCACCAAACACCACAAAAATGCCAAGCCTCATCCGAAAACAAGCTCCCTGCAAAGTCTTCATGCTCAAACATTTAAAAACACGTGAGAAAATTTTCTGCCACTGGTCTTACCCATAAAAGAGAATCTTCATCTTCAGTATCTTTATCCAAAGTAAACTTACGCTCGAATTTAGCAAGATGTATCTCACGAGACTAATGTGTACTACTTGTTGGACTCTCCTTATCTAACATTCCAACATAATTATAATCTATTTTCTCACCTTTTAAGCTACAGATTTACAAACAGCAATATTACTTCTACTCTCCCCTCAAATGAAAATAAATGGAAGGAGATCCTTACCAGTCCAAACTTTAGTCCTTATTTAATCTTTTTCAGCCTTACATAACCACATCTGAAGTAATGATATAATAAATATTCTCACATTTACTATACATATAAACTCACACAACTTTTACCGCCTTGAAGTTTCACATAGTATTCAGACCACCTTACAGACGCATAGCTAAATATTTATTACTTGCTTTTAGCATGAACCATATACAGATTTAACACACTTGCATTGTTATCATAATGATCATTTTTCCCCTTATTTAAATTTTTATCAGTTAGGTCACTAATGCAATTCTATTCAGTATTTTTTAAAAATCTGGCAATATATAGAATAGTTTTATATAGCTAGCAGGTGACAAAAGTGACACTTCGTAACAACAGAAAGCTGTGGCAAGAAATTATTTGTAATTTATGTAAGAAAA